AATACCGAATAAGCCTTGGGCACGCAAACATTTTGGCCGCAGACCTTAGACATTCCAATAGGACTCAACACCATCGCACTCAGCAATGAGGTTCCTCGCTTCATTGCCAGCGCACAATGGCCACCAAAATCTCTGGATACCAATCCTTTGGACTTTTGTGTCTGACTTTTGAGTATTTTGGAAAGCAAGGTTGGCACTAAAAAATATCAAAGTGTCGATCACCTCAAGCAAGCGCTATGCCGGGAATGGGCCAAAATACCGCAGAGCAACATTCGGGCAACGTGTGACGGTTTCATTGGCTGTTTGAAGGCCATAATTCCTGCCAAAGGTAACTAATTCGAACAAAAACAATTCGAAAAAAATTTAAAAAATATGGAGTTTGACTTTGTTGCATTTTTTTTTGTCTCACCCTATAAATATATATGGAAAACCGATAAAAAGGTATATAATATATAGATAAGCTATAGAAGGCTTTCAGTGCACAAATTAATATAAGATTTGCTAAATGTAGAAGGCCTACAGAACTCTTTCTAAGAACGGGAAATCCAAAGTCTCAAAGACGTTTAGAAGGCCTCTAATATAGAAGTCGCATGAAAGGCCTTAAACACTTAACCTCATTTGTGCCGTTGTGTTCATTCCTTCATTCCTGGTATTTGTCCTTCAAACTAATTTCATCCTATTACACCTTCACCTAGCTGCGAAGGACTGACGCACTCCACAATGCGACTAAGTTCATTTTTCTTGTGCCATAAATAATTTAAATTAAAAGCAGAACCTTTTATGACAGAAATAAACTCAATGTCAAGGCATTGATACGATTACAAACGCATGTACCTACATGGACATCTCCAGTGCACGTGTAGCACTGCTGTAACATTCTCGGATGGACATGTTGTAAATGCTATATGAAATATTGTGTAACCTCTCCTAATGACACTGACAGTATGATTGACACAGGTTAATGCCATGGTCCATCAGAAAAAAACCCTGGACGAACACAAATGTATAACGCACACACACATGCATACAACATCTTGGTCAAGTTCTTCACGTACACAGGACGAGCAATGTAAGGGTAATTTATGACAATGGATATGTCAAGGAAATAAACTTGAAAACTTCTTTAAAGGAAGGCGAATGGAAATACAAATGAAAAAAAAAAAAGAATATGTGGCCTGGAATAGGTGGAATAGATGATGGTCTTTGGGAAATATTCACAAAAAATTACACAATATTGATAAGGTTATCCTTAAAAAATGTGTGTATGTATGTATAAAATAGAAGTATAAATGCATAAGATCATGAAAATCTTCTTCCAAATTCGCCATTAAAGGTACTTAAAAAATTATTCTTAAAAATCTGTGGCTAATGGTCCGTAAACGAATGAGTTCGAAATCGGTCTCTGAAAAAATATTTTTAAAAATCCATGATTATCCTTGGCCGTTTGAAGGCCATAATTCGTGCCAAAGGTAAGCAATTCGAACAAATCTAAAATTATTCTAAAATTTTATGCTATTTCCGACATTTTTTGCTTTCTTCATTTAATAAAATAAAAAAAATGTAAAAATTATGGCATTCAACTTTGTTGCAGTTTTTTATCTCACCCTGTATACTACTATATAGTAATTTTCGTGCACTTGCATTACACATTTCCAAAACCACCTCCATATCTCAATCTTAGGTTCCAACAGAGACCTCAATAACAAATTTGAGGTTCCAGGCCTATCACTCCACTCAATACTAAATTGTAAGCGTTATAGCTGTACTGTTTCGTCAAATACAAAGGGTACCATATTATCACGTTATCAGACATCTTCAAACCAAGTGCGACAATCAGCAAATATTTTGAGATTTTAGCTTCAGTTTCATCTGGGCGTTGATGAAACATGAAGTCAGTCTGTCGGTACTATATTATTAATATAGATCGGTCCATGAAAAAATGTTATTAAATCTAATTTTAAAGGGTCCCTTGGTCCTTGAAAAAATATCCTTAAAATATTCAAGTTTTTTTTAATAATTTTTTTCAAGGATCAACAGACCTGGAAACGTGGATTTTCTTAAAATTTTTTTCAAGGATCAACAGGCCTAGAAACGTGGATTTTTTTAAATTTTTTTTCAAGGATCAACAGACCTAGGAACCTGGATTTTTTAAAATAATTTTTTTCAAGGATCAACAGACCTAGAAACGTGGATTTTTTAAAATATTTTTTTTCAAAGATCAACAGACCTAGAAACATGGATTTTTCTAAATATTTTTTTTTTAAGGATCAACAGACCTATAAACCTTGATTTTTCTAAATAATTTTTTTTCAAGGATCAACAGACCTAGAAACGTGGATTTTTCTAAATAATTTTTTTTTCAAGGATCAACAGACCTAGAAACGTGGATTTTTTTAAATAATTTTTTTTCAAGGATCAACAGACCTAGAAACGTGGATTTTTTTAAATAATTTTTTTTTCAAGGATCAACAGACCTAGAAACGTGGATTTTTTTAAATAATTTTTTTTTCAAGGATCAACAGACCTAGAAACGTGGATTTTTTTTAATAATTTTTTTTTCAAGGATCAACAGACCTAGAAACGTGGATTTTTTTAAATAATTTTTTTTTCAAGGATCAACAGACCTAGAAACGTGGATTTTTTTAAATAATTTTTTTTCAAGGATCAACAGACCTAGAAACGTGGATTTTTTTAAATAATTTTTTTTTCAAGGATCAACAGACCTATAAACGTGGATTTTTTTAAATAATTTTTTTTTCAAGGATCAACAGACCTATAAACGTGGATTTTTTTAAATAATTTTTTTTTCAAGGATCTGCAGACCTATGATTTATATATATATTTTTTTCAAGGATCAACATAGGTCTGTTGATCCTTAAAAAATATCCTTAATATATTCAATTTTATAGGTCTGTTGATCCTTGAAAAAATATCCTTGAAATATTCATGTTTATAGGTCGCTTGACCCTTGAAAAAATATCCTTAAAATATTTATGTTTATAGGTCTCTTGGACCTTGAAAAAAAATTCTCTGACAATCCATTAAAATATATCCTTAAAATATTCATTTACATAGGCCAGCTGATCCTTGAAAAATATCCTTAAAAATCTGCGTTTCTAGGTCCTTGAAAAAAAATTATTTAGAAAAATCCACGTTTATAGGTCTGTTGATCCTTGAAAAAAAAATATTTAGAAAAATCCATGTTTCTAGGTCTGTTGATCCTTGAAAAAAAAATTTAAAAAAATCCACGTTTCTAGGTCTGTTGATCCTTGAAAAAAATTTTAAGAAAATCCACGTTTCCAGGTCTGTTGATCCTTGAAAAAAAATTATTAAAAAAAATCCACGTTTCCAGGTCTGTTGATCCTTTAAAAAGAAATATTTTAAAAAATCCATGTTTCTAGGTCTGTTGATCCTTAAAAAATAATATTTTAAAAAGTCCACGTTTCTAGGCCTGTTGACCATTGAAAAAAAAAAATTATTTTAAAAAATCCACGTTCCTAGGTCTGTTGATCCTTGAAAAAAATTATTTTAAAAAATCCACGTTTCTAGGCCTGTTGATCCTTGAAAAACAAAATTTTAAAAAATCCACGTTTCTAGGCCTGTTGATCCTTGAAAAAAAAATTATTAAAAAAATCCACGTTTCAAGGTCTGTTGATCCTTTAAAAATAAATATTTTAAAAAATCCATGTTTCTAGGTCTGTTGATCCTTTAAAAAGAAATATTTTAAAAAATCCATGTTTCTAGGTCTGTTGATCCTTAAAAAATAATATTTTAAAAAGTCCACGTTTCTAGGCCTGTTGATCATTGAAAAAAAAATTATTTTAAAAAATCCACGTTTATGGCTCTGTTGATCCTTGAAAAAAATTATTTTAAAAAATCCACGTTTATGGCTCTGTTGATCCTTGAAAAAAATTATTTTAAAAAATCCACGTTTCTAGGCCTGTTGATCCTTGAATAACAAAATTTTAAAAAATCCACGTTTCTAGGCCTGTTGATCCTTGAAAAACAAAATTTTAAAAAAATCCACGTTTCCAGGTCTGTTGATCCTTGAAAAAAATTATTATAAAAAATCCAAGTTCTTACGTCTGTTGATCCTTGAAAAAAAAAAAAAAATTATTTTAAAAAATCCACGTTTCTAGGTCTGTTGATCCTTGAAAAAATATTATTTTAAAAATCCACGTTTATCGTTGATCCTTGAAAAAATATTATTTTAAAAATCCACGTTTATCCTTGATCCTTGAAAAAATATTATTTTAAAGACCCACGTGTATCCTTGATCCTTGAAAAAATATTATTTTAAAAATCCACGTTTATCCTTGATCCTTGAAAAAATATTATTTTAAAGACCCACGTGTATCCTTGATCCTTGAAAAAATATTATTTTAAAAATCCACGTTTATCCTTGATCCTTGAAAAAATATTATTTTAAAGACCCACGTGTATCCTTGATCCTTGAAAAAATATTATTTTAAAAATCCACGTTTATCCTTGATCCTTGAAAAAATATTATTTTAAAATCCACGTTAATCCTAGATCCTTGAAAAAATATTATTTAAAAATCTACGTTAATCCTTGATTCTTGAAAAAATATTATTTAAAAAATATACGTTAATCCTTGATACTTTAAAAAATATTATTTTTAAAATCCACGTTTATCCTTGAACCTTGAAAAAATATTACTTTAAAAATCCACGTTTATCCTTGATCCTTGAAAAAAAATTATTTTAAAAATCCACGTTTATCCTTGATCCTTGAAAACAATTTTTTAAAAATCCACGTTTATCCTTGATCTTTGAAAAATTATTATTTTAAAAATACACGTTTATCCTTCATCCTTGAAAAATTATTATTTAAAATTCCACGTTTATGGGTCTGTTGATCCTTTAAAAAATATTACTTAAAAATTTACATTTATCCTTGAAAAAAATATAATTTAAAATCCTTGTTAATCCTTAAAAATATTCTAATTCTTTCTCTTCCTCTCTCTCATTTCTCTCAAGATGCCGAACTGAAGGAACGCCTCATTGCCTCGGTGAAAAAGGAGGTGAAACAGTTAATGGAAGAAGCGGTGACAAAGAAATACATTCACGAAGAGAGTAGTTTGGTCACATCCCTTTGCGGTGCCGTCGAAGCCTGCCTCAGCCATGGTCTACGGCGACGAGCCTTGGGTCTCTTCAAAACATCCTCGACCACCGCCCTAATACAAAAAATTGCCAAAGCCTGTCCGGAGGCAGACTATGTTAGTCGACGTCTTTTGGAAATTGAAGTGGCCATCGAAAGTTCTACGGTGGCGGGTAAACGTTCCTGTTCGAGCAGTGATAGTATTATAAAACCAAAACTCCTCAGCAAAGGTAGCAGTAATTCGGTGACAACGATAAATACCTTGTCCATGGGCTCGCCAGCCAATGGACCGGTGGTTAAGTGAGTATTGTGGCCACGAAGGACAAAGGGAATGTAATGCATTTGAATTCCTAATCTTAGGTACCTGTGGATTCGGGTGGCTTTATATGAAAAACGCTTATCAAAAATCATTGAGCATTTGGTGAACAATGCCAATAATTACTATGATCGAGATGCGCTGGTCGCAGATCCCGATTATGGTAGCATACTGAGTTCATTGCTGGTGGGTCCTTGTGCTTTGGAATTTACCAGGGCCAAGACGGCAGATCATTATTGGTCAGATCCGCCGGCAGATGAGTTGGTGGGTCAAATTCTCGAAATTTGTATTGGTTCTATTTAAAATATTTCCCCTCTCTTTCTCTCGCTCTCTTCCTTTTTAGATACAAAGACATCGCATAAGTTCCGGTAACCGTACCCCACCCACCTGTCATCGTCCCATAATCAATTTCAAACGTAGTCTACACACAAGTTCCGAAGATACCAGCAGTGGTTCGTTTAAGGCCAGCTCACCGGCCAGTGTGGCCAAGGACTATGTGGAGTCCTTGCATCAGAATTCCCGCACCACTTTGCTGTATGGCAAGAACAATGTGCTGGTATTGCCGGTAAGATTCCAAACACCCCGTACCGTTGTAGGTCATTAATACTCCCTTTTCTCTCAAATTCCAGAAAGATGTTAGCGAACCCATGCCAGGCTATCTGAGTCTCCACCAAAACATCCAATCGCTGACCATCAAATGGACCCCTAACCAATTGATGAACGGCTATACCGATAATGAAGGTTCCGATCTCAGTTCGTATTGGGCCTATGCTCTGAATATAAATGTCGATGAAATCGTCTATGTTCATTGTCATCAGAATCGTGGCGAGGACACAGGGGGTACAGTTATCCTCGTCGGCCAGGATGGTGTTCAGCGGCCGCCAATACATTTTCCCGAGGGTGGACATATGCAAGCGTTCCTCAGTTGTTTGGAAACAGGTCTATTACCGCATGGCCAACTAGATCCGCCATTGTGGTCACAACGAGGCATTGGTAAAATGTTCCCTTGGCCGAAGAGTGTGCGCCGGCGCATTCTGCCCTCCGTTATGGAATCGAGTGATGAAACACCCATCGATTATGTCTTCCGTGTTGTTAGCAAGAGTCAGCATGAAGAGTTTTGTAAGTCCGCAACATTATCTTGGAGGAATTATGAAAAATATATATTTCTTTGCAGTGGCCACCCATCCCATTTTGGAATTGGGTCGCACCAGTCCGAGACGCAAACACTTGGGCAGCTGTTCCACCACCGGCAGCAGTGGTTGTTCCAGCAAGAGTTTATCAATGGAGCAGAGCATAAATGTTGACCCACCCTTGGTAGGAAAAACCTCTATTGTTGTTGTGAGAAGTGAAAATCAATTTGTTGTTGTTTTTGCTATTTTCAGATCCAAGCTAGCCAAACAGCTAGCATAGAATTGGTCTGCTCCACAATGAGACGCCAAATAATATCGAGAGCATTTTATGGTTGGCTGGCCTATTGTCGCCATTTATCCACAGTTCGCACACATCTGTCGGGATTGGTTAATGGACGCATCACACCGGATTGTAAGTATCAGTTACTGATCTTGACAAAAGGAGATCACCTGAAGAGTGAAGAGGTCTTCGAAAGGAAGATCTTCTTTAGGAAGGAAAAAGAAGTACTCTACAGGTCCTTTCTAGAGGTCCTCTAGGCCATAGAAAACTCTGGAGGTACTTTAGGTTGAGGAACTCATTTAGGTTTCATAGGCTACAAAAGACCTATATAGGTCTCATAGCCTAGGAAATGCCGTTAGAGGTCTTCTGGATATATAGAAGACCACTACTAGCCTAGGCCCTCTAGATTATATAAGGCCTCTAGAGGTTATCTAGCCATAGAAAATCTCTGGAGGTACCTTAGGCTGAGGAACTCATTTAGGTTTCATAGGCTACAAAAGACCTATATAAGTCTCATAGCCTAGGAAATACCGTTAGAGGTCTTTTGAATATATAGAAGAACTCTACTAGCCTAGGCCCTCTAGATTGTATAAGACCTCTAGAGGTTATCTAACCTTTAGAAGACCTCAAGAGGTCCTCTAAGCTGTAGAATACCTCTAAAGGCCTATAAAAGACCTCTAAAGGTCTATAGAATAGATCTAAGGGTCTTCAAGACTATAGAAGATCTCTAGGGGTCCTCTAAGCTATATAAGACCTCTAGAGGTCCTCTAGGCTATATATGACCGTTGTAGGTTTTATAGGGTATAAAAGACCTGTAAAGGTCTATTGGGCTATAGAGGACCTTTAGAGATCCTCCAAGCTATAGAAGACCTATGGAGGTTTTCTAGATTATAGATGACCGATGGAAGTCTTCTAGATTATAGATGACCGATGGCGGTCTTCTGGAGGTCTTTTAAACTATAGAAGATCGATAAAGGCCTTCTAGCCTTTGGATGGCCGATAGAGGTTTTCTAGGCAATAGAACATTTTTGTAGATATATAGAAAACCACTGGAGGTCTTTAAGGCTATGGAAAACCTCCAGAGGTCCCCTAGGCTATAGAAGTCATTTGGAGGTCTTCTAGGATATAGAAGACCCCCAGAGGTCCCCTAGGCTATAGAAGACATTTGGAGGTCTTCTAGGATATAGAATACCTCTGGAGATGTTCTAGACTATAGAATACCTCTGGAGGTCTTCTAGGCTATAGGAAGTCTATAAAGATGTTTTAGCCTAGAGATCGATTGAGGTCATCTAGGCTATGGAAGAACTCCATAGTAGATTTGTAAAAATCATCTAAGCTGTAGAATATTTCTAAAGGTCCTCCAGGCTATAGAAGACCTGTATAGATGTTTTAGGCCATAGAAGACCTCTGGACGTCTTCCAGGCTAAAGAAGACCTCTTGAGAGCCTCTAGCCTATAGAAGACCTTAAATAAAATACCCCTGTACATCATGGAAGACCTTTGGAGGTCCTCTAGGTTATAGAAGCTCTCTAGAGGTTCTCTAGTCATTAAAAGACCTCTGGAGGTCCTCTAGGCTGTAGATGACCTCTGGATAGGCTATAGAAGACCGTTAGAGGTCAGCTTAAATGAATGATAGAAAACCGTTAGAAGTATTTTAAGCCATAAAAGAAGCCTGGAGGTCTACCATAGAAGTCTACTATAGAAGACATCTGAAGGAAAGGAAGGAAACATGGAAGAGCTTTGAAGGTCCTCTAGGTTATAAAAGTTCTCTAGAGGTTCTCTGGCCATTTAAAGACCTCTGGAGGTCCTCTAGGCTGTAGAAGACAGTAAGGGGTATTTTGAGATATAAAATACTCCTGGAGGTCATTTAGTGTATAGAAGAACGTTAGCGATATTTTAGGCTATAGAAGAGCCCTGGAGATCTACTAGTGTATGTACGACCTCTGGAAGTCTTCTAGGCCGTAAAAGACCGATAGAGGTCTTCAAGGCGATAAAAGACATCTGGAGGTCTTCTTAGTGATACAAGATCTTCTGAGGTCGTTTATGCGTTCAACCCCTTAACCACTATAGTTCCTGTTGGGCTGTCGAAAAACGTTCTCCAATCTCTTTATCCTTTATCTTCCTTTATTTTTTTATGTTTTCTAGTGGCTGTCAATGAATCGGGACTGACCCGAGAGAAATGGATAGCTTTACATGAGGACGGTGTAATAACCAGCCACGAGGAGCTATTCCGCCTTGTCTACTTTGGTGGTGTGGCCCATGAAATACGCAAAGAGGTGTGGCCATATCTTTTGGGTTACTACAGGTAAATGTCGCTCCCACTCTGCCTCCTTCAGAAAATTTAATCTTTTTTTCTTTCTACAGCTTTGGTTCCACCACCGAGGAGCGACAGAAACTCGACGACACAAGTAAACACTACTACGAAACGACTATGAGTGAATGGCTGGCTGTGGAAGCCATTGTCCGGCAACGGGAAAAGGAGAAAAATGCCAAGGCCATGGCCAAAATATCGGCAGAAAATAAACGGAAAAATGAGAAACAAGTTTATCGTCAAACCGAACTGGATCAGGAAGATGTGGAAAATGATGTTTTCGATGATCATGATTTTTCGGATATCTCAGATCCGGGTATTGACTTCGATGATGATTTCATTGGACACATACAGGAGGAAAAGGATTCGGGTAATTGTGATGATGATGAATTGGTGGAGGACGATATGGAGGGTATGCTGAGGGAGAAGGAACAGAATCGACGAAATGAGGAATATGCCAAGGAGGTAGGGGATGGTGAGGAGACAGCCACGGAAAATGATGATGGTGAAGGCAAAGAGGTGGCAGAAATGGACATTAAAGAAGAAGAAGATGAGGAGGAACAGGCAGAGGAGGCTGTGGAGGTGAGTGAAGTAGAGGGTGAAGCAGCAGAAACCGATGTTGAAGAAGCCAAAAATGCAACTGATGAGATAGTAGAGGAAGCAAACATTCCAAACATGGAAGAGGAAGGGGAATCAGAAACTAATGAAGAAGAAGTTGAGATAAATGGTGAGGCTACGGAGACCACTGAAGATGTGGAACAATCAACCCGAGACCAAATTGTTGTGGCCCTGGAAGAAATTGAACCCTTGCCCCTAAATGAACAATGCTTTGCCGAATCAGAGCCAGAAAATGGTCTTACACCCGAACAGGGTGGTATGTTGCTGCTGAGCATAAAAAGTTCTCCCTCCACTTCCTCCTATGAAACAGTGGGTAATGAATTTACCGATATGGTAGAGATGACAGCCAATGAACATGATATGGAAATGGAAGAGGTCGAAGTGGAAGTAGAAGTTGAGGAAGCCATGATGGAAGAATCTTCCACCAACAAAGATGAAACAAGAGAGGCTGAAGAACCCGAAAATGTCGATGAAGAAATTGCCACTGAGGCTGTGGAACAGGAAGCAGAAGAGAGTCTCGTCAGAAAATTCCATAGCTTGGAAGATGTGCGACGAGCATCTACAGATGATGTGTGTTCCCAACCCACACATGCTGTCATCATTACGGAAGCTGCATCTATTGATGCCCTGGAATGTACCGATGAACCCACCGATGAAACATCGCGCAAAACTAGTTTAATGTCACCCATGAATGAGGATATCACTGTGGTGGCATCTCTGGATGCTTTGCAGGAACCCAAATCGGCTTGTGTCTCCCCGGCCAGTTCCAATGGTGGGGTGTATAGTGTAAGTATACCAAGAGATTTGTTGAGGGTGGTTATTGATGTTAGTATTCTCCTTTCGTTCTTAGTGTGAATTCTTGGAAAACTTTGCATTAAATCTACATCGCATCGAAAAGGATGTCCAACGCTGTGATCGCAACTATTGGTATTTTGCCAATGAAAATTTGGATAAACTGCGAAATGTCATAACCACGTGAGTAGTTGAAGTTTAGAAATTAGCGAAAACAGTTCTGAAAATAAATAATTTTTTTTAGCTATGTCTGGGAACATTTGGAAGTTGGCTACATGCAGGGCATGTGCGATCTGGTGGCTCCTCTCTTGGTTATTTTTGATGACGAAGTCCTGGCCTATGGCTGTTTTTGCAAACTAATGGAGAGAATGATTGAAAACTTCCCCAACGGTGGTGCCATGGATATGCATTTTGCTAATATGAGGTAAGTTCTAACTAAGAGCCTTTCCTCAGAAGGTGGAGGTTAAAAAATTTTTTTTGAGAATACATAGTAATTTCATAGGTATGTTGAGGGCAAATAAATTGACGTTATTGAATTTTCACAAGAGCTAAAAAAAGGAAGATACGTCTGTCGGCATTTTGAAAGCTTACACCACAAAGTAACCCAAATATAGGGGGCAAGTTCACCCCCCTTCCACCCTTTTGTAAAATGTTCGGATTAAGATTTCCCGAAATCCGTGGGTTTTAGATATATAGTATCTTCGGCAACATTGCATATATGGTTAAAAACTCCCTTTAAACGGGATCGTAGCAAGTCAAAATTTTCCGTAAAATCATTTATCATAAAATTCTACTATAGGTCCTAGAAGACGTCAAAAGTCTAAACCTTAACCAAGTTCCAGGAAAAGAGGGGACAAGTTCCCCCCATCCTCCACACTTTTTCGAGACTTTCTAATTAAGATTCCTCGAAATCAATGCGTTTTCGGTGTATAGTGTCTTCAACAATATTGCAGATAAAAATACGAAGAATATTTTGGTAGAAAATTTTAACCCTCGAACAAGTCAACAAATGGGCCTTTTTGGTCCTTTTTCAAAATATGATTATAAACTCCATTTAAACGGGATCGTAGCAACTCAAAATATTCCACAAAATTATTTATCATAACCAGTAATGAAAGTCTTAAAGTCGGGCGGGCCGGCTTTATGATACCCTACACCACTTTGCTAATTAAGCAGAGCTCCACATAACAATTAAAAGTTTTTATGAGAGAATTCAATCAGCGTGTATGATGATTATAATTTAAAGTTCAAAGGACTAAATATGCCGAAGCATTTGTATCTTTTGAATTCGGACCTTTATTGCCCATTTGGTGCACAATTAATTTGAAATCGGATAAAGATATATATGGGAGCTATATCAAAATCTGAACCGATTTCGATAAAATTTACTAAAGATATTTCTGAGCTGTATTTGAATATCGTTGTTTCGGAGTGTATATTACGGCTGTGGGTAACAAATACAACAAATCGGATGAACAATATATAGGGAGCTATAGCTGACACACTAGCTTCTAGACTCAATTCGGTAGTATGTGCCAAATGTGCCATCCCATTTGGACAAATATTAAAAGTTTGGTGTACAATAAAAGGTAAATCGGACGAAGTTATATGTGGGAGCTATATCCAAATCTGAACCGATCTCGATAAAATTTAGCAAATGTATTTCTGAGCTGTATTTGCTATACTTCCCCAAATATTGTTGTTACAGAGTTCATATAACGGCTGCGGAGGACAAAAACATCAAATCAGATGAACAATATATATGGGAGCTATAGCTATATCTGAACCGATTTCGATCAAATTTGGCATACTTATTTTCAGGTATAATTTGGTTGTATGTGCAAAATTCCATACTATTCGGGCTGATATTACACGTTTGGTGCACAATAAAAGGCAAATCGGACGAAGATATATATGGGAGCTTTATCCAAATTTTGGCCGATTATCTTCAATTTAAATAGGGTTCGTCCTTGGGCCAAAAAAATGATTTGTGTAAATTTTTATCTGGATAGGTCAATAAATGCGAACTGTACTTTGTTTATAAAAATACATGGACAGACGGACGGACGGACCAACAAATGCATAAAGACATAATACCCTGACCACCTTGTAGTGTAGGGTATAAAGAATTGCAAATTATAAAAGCAATAATTATCTAAATTGTCACCCCTTTCTGTGGGAGGTACCAAAAGGAGTGGTCCGATATATTCCATCTTCAGACCAGATGATAGAAACAGTGGGATGTGTGAAATTTGAAGTAGATCGGATGCTTGTTTTGGTTTTTCAAAATTTTAACCCTTTGAGAGTCAACGGTCAAAAAGAAGGAGTTGACCGATATATTCCATCTTCACACCAGGTTTTGTGTCAGTAGAAATATTGGGTTATGTGAACATTTAATAGAATCGGATGCTTATTTCGAATTTTATATGAGTTATAATTATTCAAAATTTCTACCCTTTTGTGTGGCAGGTACATGATGGCGTGGGTCGACAGACGTACGGACGCACATACCTAGATCGACTCCAAATGCCTTGAAAACGGATTTGGTCCAACGAGACCAGGGTCTAAAACTTTTATTTCGATGAGACACGTTTTGGCAGTATCAAATGTGCTCGACGTCTTCTATAGCCATACGACTGAGGGCATTATTAGTACTATTTAGTACTTTTCCTCCATATTTCAATTCCAGTTGTCAACAGGTGCCAAATGTGAGGATTACAAGTCTATCCCCTCACCTAATATCAAATTTACTACTTTTCGTACTAATACGAGACGCATTTCCAAATTACCGCCAAATCTCAAACTTCACCCAATACCAAATATAGTAACATTTAGCACTTTTTTTGCAATTATAGTACACTTTTTCGAAACCACCTCCATATCTCAATTTCAGATACCAATAAGGACCTCAATATCAAATTTGAGGATTCGGGCCCTATTCCTTCACTCAATGTCAAATTTAGTACCATTTAGTACCAGTACATTAGTACTTTTCGTAATAATACGGGACGCATTTTTAAATCACAGCCAAATCTCAAACACAGATATTATCAGTAATCCTAATGTTAAATTTGGGGGCCCAAGCCCTATTCCTTCACCCAATACAAAATTTAGTAACATGCGGTACTTTTTGTGCAATTATAGTACACATTTCCGACATCATCTTTATATCTCAATACCATATACCAATTGAGACCTCAATATCAAATTTGAGGATTCGGGCCCTATTCCTTCACTCAATAGCAAATTTAGTACCATTTAGTACTTTTCGTCCTAATACTATACGTATTTCCAAACCATTGCCAAATCTCACACACTGATACCATCAGTAATCTATGTATCACAATTTAGAATTGTATCTGTATCCCTTCACCCAATTCCAAATATAGTACCATTGAGTACATCGGTTCACCCAATACCAAATTGTTCCAAATATAGTACTATTTAGTACCTTTTTTAGTGCACATGTAGGACACATTTGCAAAATCACCTCTTTATCACAAACCAGGCTCTCCAATACAGAATTCCAAAATTTCAGCTTAATCCTGAATGTTTCAAATTTAGTACCATTTAGTGCAGTTCGAACACCAAGTACACATTTCTGAAACCGCTTCCATATGTCCAGGCACCTACCACAAAGAGGGACTCCAATATAAAATTTCACCCTAAACCAAACTGTTTCAAATTTAGTACCATTTATCCAAAATCAATTTTATATATCAAACAGTTTTAGTACCATTTTAGACCTTTTTGTAACCTTAAAGTTTCACCTTTCTTTTACTCCATCAGTGACTCTCATTTCAGAATACTAGCTAATTCCGTTTTTTTTTTTTTTTTTCAATACAAAGTATTTAATTTTAGCAGATTTCAGTACTTTTTGTACCCTTTTAGTTCGAATTTCCAAAAATCCAACCTTATCGCACTCCTACACTCCAAGACTGGCCTTTGAGCAAAATTTCAAGATTTTAGCTTCAGCATATATGTATATAGGAATTTCAATGGCTTTACTCCGAGCTCATTTTTCAATATATTTTGTACGCTTATAAACAATATAATGAGCTGTCACTGGAATAATTTTAACAGCTGTCGGGCGAGTGGCTTAGAAATGACAGCAGTCTGAAGTTTGTTGCAGTTTTTTTTTCATATCACCCTGTATATATATATATATATATATATATATATATATATATATATATATATATATATATATATATATATATATATATATATATATATATCCACTTATATTTGTACATATTGATTATTGTTGCTTTCGTTTTGTCATTGCAGATCCCTCATACAAATTTTGGATTCGGAAATGTACGATTTAATGGATTCGAATGGTGATTATACGCATTTCTATTTCTGTTATCGTTGGTTTTTGTTGGATTTCAAACGCGAACTGGTCTACGATGATGTTTTCGCGACATGGGAAGTGATATGGGCGGCCAAACATGTTGCCTCGGGGCATTTTGTACTGTTTTTGGCGCTGGCCCTTTTGGAAACTTATCGAGATATAATACTATCAAATAGTATGGATTTCACAGATGTCATCAAGTTTTTCAATGGTAAGTTAAAGGGAATGCCAATATTATTCGAAAATTCCAAAAAAAGTAATAAATAAATAATAATAAATAAATAATTTTTTAAAATTGTATAAATTTTAAAAAGTACATTTTTATAATTCCATTTTTTATTTTTTTCTTATAATATTTTATGACAATATAATTTTTAAATTTTTTAAAATTTCGTTTTCTTTCAGAAATGGCAGAACGTCACAATGCCCAATCAATTTTGCAATTGTCACGGAGTCTAGTCTTGCAATTGCAGACAATAATTGAAAATAAATAAATACGCAAAAAAAAAAAAAAAATAAGAACAACAACAAAACCATTGGAAAATAATAACAACTGTACGAAACTCTACTCTCATCTTGGAGAAAGGAAAATAACAACAATTATCTATTAGACAGTAACAAAAATTAAAAAAAAGAGAAAACATTTATTTTTAATGGGAAGAAAAAAGATACTATATATATACAAGAAAAATACTATAATACTCATATATATATAAATAAAATATACATACAAATACCTGCATACATATATTTATAGAGACAACCAAAGAGAGACAAATGAAAAATTCAACAAAAACAACCAAATAGAGTAGAGTAGTTTACATCACCACCCAGAAGAAACAAAAAACAACAACTGTAGAACCAAGTGAAAAAAAACCGAAAACCAAAAATGTTATACAAATTTGTAGTGAAATCACAACTCAAATTGTTCACCAAGAGCGTTAAATTTTCGCTCGACCATGAATCCTTCTCTTCCATTATTTTGTTATTGTTTCTTTTGAAAATCTAATCTTCTTTTGTATTGTTTATTACACTGTCATGCAGTAATTACGGGAAAATCCTGCAGATTATGAAAGTAGAGGTAAAAATAATGATAATAAGAACAAGAAGAAGGTACCCAAAATAGAGGGGTCAAGTTCCCTCTACCAAACTTTTGGAAATTTTTGGATTAAGATTGGTAATATTGCAAGTAAAAATACAATCTGAAACTAATCGTTTGGAAAATATCAAGAAAATGGACAAGACCCTCAGAATAATTTAATTTATATAAGGGCTGTAGCAAACGCTGACATTGACATTGTAAAATCTCAAAATTCCATAATTTTGACGAAATTGAAATTAAATCAGAGCAAAAAGTAACATTATTTAAGATCGCAGATATCTCTAAACAAATTGATGATACTTTTCAAATTACATATAGAATATACAAATTTCTTTTGTTCAGAGACTCGCAATGAAATTTGATCTAGAATAATTCTTACTTTGACACCTTTCCCAAAAAATGAAGGGAAATTTGAATAGGATTGGATACGTGCTAAATGATCTCTTAAAAAAACGAATATATTATTTTTACTAGTAGTGCATACATTTAGATTTTAATTTTCATAAAAAAAAAAACTATTTCACTTAGACACGTAGTTCATTCTGAGATTTATTCTGAAATTTTGTGTAGAATATTTCTTCTTTTAACACCTTACGCCTAAAACGAATTCTTATGTTACTTTACGTATTAACTCGAAAAATTAATCAAAAAATTATGAATTATTTTCGGGGATTTCCGGAATATTGATGCAAATATTTAGTTGATAGAAATGCAAATAGAGATTTCCTCTTTGGCGATTTATAGTAGAATTTGATAAGGAATATTTTTGCCTTTGACGTCATCTTTCTAAATTGATGCTTTGTTGGAATATGTTTACCTTTTATACTAAAAAAACCTTCAAGATCTTTCATTTTGAAGTTCGCCGAGGAGGATATTAGAAGAGTGATTGTACAATGAATCCTAATTCAATTTGTCTGCCCAAAAAAGTTTTAATGTCTATATATATATATATATAAATTCATGAAACCAACAGTGACCTCAACATCAAATTTCAGAATTTCAGCCCTATCCCTTCATCCATTTCCAAATTTAGTACTTTCGTACACAATTCCAAAACCACCTCCGTATTTCAATACCAGATGCCAACATTGACCTCAATATCAAACCTCAGCTCTTTCCCCTCACTCAATACCAAATTAGTACTATTTAGTACTTTGTGCATTTGCTGTACACATTTTCCAAACCATTTCCATATCTCAATCAAAGATACCAACAGTGACCTCAATAATAAATTTAATACTGTTCATAACTATTCTCACAATTTTAGTACACATTTCGAAACCAAAAAGGATTTCAATATAAAATTTCTGGATTCGAGCACTATTCCATTAACCAATGCTCAATTTTGTAAGACTTGGTAATTTTCGAGCAATACACTCTTCCAAAACCACCTTCATATTTCGATTTCAGATTTTAATTGAGACCCCAATATGAAATGTAAGGATTTCAGCTCTATCCCTTTGTTCAACACCGAATTTACTACCATTTAGTACTTTTCGTACAATTATAGTACACATCTTTAAGGTAATCTCCATATTTCAATTCCAGACACCAGTAGATGCCTTAATGTGAGGATTTTAATTTTGAGGATTCAAACTCTATCCAAATACCAAATTTAGTTTCATTTAGACTTTTCGTACAAATGTAGGTCGCAAATTCAAAGCAATGTCAAATCTCAAACACAGATACCATCAGTAATCTAAATATGAAATTTCAGAATTTTTCTGTATCCTTTCACCCAACACAAAAAAATAGTACCATTCAGTACTTTTTGTACGATTGTAGTTCTCATTTTCGAAACCACAACCATATTTCCAGGCTTCAGACAGTTCGCACGCACTTAGAACACATTTCCAAAACCGCCTCAATATTTCAAACTTACTTTTCAACCTTGATTCTCATAACAAATTTTAAGTTAAAAGCTCGGATACGTAATACCAAATTGTACCATTTTAAAAGTTTAGTGCCATTTCAGTCCATTTCGTAACCTTAAAGTGTGAATTTCTAAAAACGTTTTGGTACATCTATCCCGCACTCCATCAGTGACCCTCATGACAAATTTCAGAATTCTAGCTTATTCCGTTTGTCCAATATAAAGTATTCGAATTTTAGTACTTTTAGTAACCTAGCTTCAAGCTTTAGCCATTTCGTGTGGGCGTTGATTCTTTGTCGGTTATTTTACAGTTTTTTTATAGAGGGTGAGATGAAAAAACTGCAACCAACTTCAGACTGCTGTCATTTCTAAGCCACTCGTCCGACAGCTGTTAAAATTATTCCCATGGCAGCTTATTATATTGTTTACAAGCGTACAAAAGCAAGGAAGTGGACGGACGAAAGCAGAAGTGGTTCGAAAAGTAAAGAAGCGACTTGATCGAAACTCGCGTCGCAGTGTCCTCCTTATATTCGTTATTTTGATGATTTTAGCTATATTATTCACCGGGATTGTTTCAAATTTGGTATTTGAAGTTCGTAATAGATACTTCAGTCTATGACAGAAAATTGTCTGTGCAGGTCGACGTCTTCGATAGCCCCCATATAACGGTACCTCCCTATATTCGGAATTTTGATGATTTTAGCGAAATTATTCACCAGAATTGTTTAAAATTTGGTATTTGAAGTTCGTAATGGATACTACAGCCCATGACGGAAAATTGGTCCACGTGGAGGTCCACGTTTTCGTATATTCCCAATATAACGGTACCTCCCTATATTCGGAATTTTGATGATTTTAGCTACATTATTGCAGAATTATTCACAGAATTTTTTTCACGTTTCGCATTTGAATATTCTAATGGCTTATGACAATAGTTGCCTATGCAGGTCCATGTTGTCGTATAGACCCTTAAATAACGGTTACATTTGGTATTTTTAGGATTTTAACAAAATTTTTAACGGGATTTTTTTTTTGAAAATTGCCAAATTTGTTCTTAATAGTGGAGGGTATTCAAAGATCGGCCCGACAAACTTATAGCTTTTTACTTGTTTAGCTCTACTTTCAAAATCTGCTGGATTTTCCCTGTAATTCTTTTTGATGTTACCCAGTGTTATTTTTGTTATGAAAGAGAAAATAAATAGTTACGAAAAATGCATATCATTCACTGATTAAAATGCGTTAAATTTCCACAAATACCCAAAACTAGTTGCAGAAATGTTAATTATTTATAAAAAATATGGACACACACACACACACATATATACACTTGTTTTTGAAAGCGGCTGGGATTGCAATTAAAGAAAATATAATGTGCTGTTAAAAAGAAGGAGGTATTAAAATGTATTTATGCCTGGAAGTTATATATTTTGTTAAAATCTTTGATTATATTAAAAAAAAATATCGAAAATCAAAAGGTACCCTCAAAATATCGGAAAGTATCCTTACATGACCTATGATGTACGGGTAAAAGTTCTTCTGAACACTCTTAAATTTTTGGGCATATCCCGGTGATGTATTTTTGCCTGGACTTTCTCGTTTGATTTTATTTTTCATTTGTTTTTAAAGAGTTTTTATTTTTTCATTTATTTTTAAAGATTTTTTATAATAAAAAAATTATATTTTAATTTATATAATTATTTTTATTTATATTTTTATAATAAAAAATGTATAAAATATATTAACACTATTTTAATTAATTATTTCCTCTCCTATTTAAAACAAAATACAATTACCTCTTTTTCAAAGAAAAGTATTAAGAATTTACAAGTTCAAAACAACATTTTATAAATTTACACTATTTTTTAATTATTTAATGCTTGCAAGGTGTCATATTTTGCCAAACGAAACTTAACAAATAATTTCATTTTTATTTCGAAAAGAAAAACTGCGAATTGTTTAGAGAAATTTCTAAAATTATCTTGTTATTGTTTGTTGAATAATTGTGTACCTAAAATGCAAAAAATGCAAAGAAAACGAAATTAAATGAAATAAAAAAAAATAAAAATTTTATATACATATAGAGAAACGAAAAAATAAAAAAAGTGCAAGGAAATATAAAATATTTAAGTGTGAAATCTGTTGCTTTTTTACTGGAAAACCCATAATAACTACATGTTATGTTTAAATATAACAAACATATATACATAATACGAAAAATAAATATTATTTACAAACAAAGAAAACACATAACTATGCAAACATACATACCAACGATGTCGGAGTGGAAAAAGAGAAAATGAGAAAAAAAAAGACATATTGATATATTTAAAAAAACAAAATCTAAAAAATAAGTCTACAAATGTTATCTTTTTATACAAACAAGCTAATGTAAAAAAACAAACACTAACAAACAACTGAAGACATTTTTATAAAAAATGTTAAATATTTTTAAAACAATTATTTTTTATATTTTGCGCAAAAATATATAATTTTCAAATTACTTTTTTTCATTTCTACTAATTTTTTTTTCATTTATTTGCATCAATGATACAAAAAATAATAAATAAAATACATAATTTTCAAATTAATTTTTTTCCAAAAATAATTATTGTTCAAGCTTAATGTATTAAGTTTTTACTTTTTAATTTATTTGTTTACTTTGTTATTATACCTTAATACGCTATTTTATTTGATTTAAGCTCATACCAATAGGGGTATATATGTTGCTACTATAAAATACTAAAATATATATTTTTAATGTTTAAATAAAATCGTGTTTAAAAAAACAAAACTTCATACATATTACTAAATGTTCAGTCCTTCAAGGTATTAAATATTATCCAGACTTTCCTTTTTCGGAAAGAATAATAGGAAAATGTTTATTTTTACACCAGAAAGTTTTCAAAATCTTTTACTTTGAAGTTTACCGAGGACGACTGTAGCAAAGACATGGCAATATGGACCCAGATCAAATTTTTCTGTTAAAAACTATTTTTAACTCAGCTCTTTCTCTTCACTCGTACCAAATTTAGTACATTTTGTTCAAAAATAAGACGCCCAATAACCATAGATACCAAAATCTTCTTTTAAGAAATTATAGTATATTGTCTCTTTCCCTTCACTAAATTTAGTACTTTTCGTACAATTATAGAACACATTTGCAAAACCAACTTCATATCTTAACAACGGACACCAACAGTGACATCTATATAAAAATTCAGGATTTTAGATCTTTTCTTTCACCCAATACCAAATTTAGTACTTTATGGTACACATTGCCAAAATAACCTCCATATCTTTAGCACAGACACAAACGGTTAAATTCATATCACATTTGAGGGTTCCAGCCCTATCCCTTCACTCAATACCAAATATAGTACCATTCAGTACTTTTCGTACAATTATTGTACACATTTCCAAAACAATCTTCATGCACAAATTCCAGATACCAACACAGACCTCAATATCAAATTTAAGGATTCCAGTCTTATCCCTTCACCCAGTACACAATTTAGTACCATTTAGTACTTTTCATACAAAATTTGAGACGCACTTCCAAACAACTACCAATTCTCAATCTCAGATACCAACAGAAAAGTTAATATGAAATTTCAGGATTCAAGCTCCACCCCTTCACCCAATACCCAATTAAGTACCACTAAGTACTTTTCGAACAATTTCTAAAACCACCTCCATATCTTAAGCACAGACACCAACTGTGAAATCTATATCCAATTTGAGGGTTCCAGCCCTATCCCTTCACCAAATATAGTACAATTCGGTACTTTTCGTACAATTATAGTACACATTTTCGAAACCACCTTCCAGATACCAACAGTGGCATCTATTTAAATTTTCAGGATTTCATTTCTACTCCTTCAGCCAACAACAAATTTAGTACCCTTAAGTACACATTTCCTTAACTACCTACATCATACAGTCCAATGGAAATGTTATTTTCAAATATCAGGATTCCAAATCTATCGGTTCTCCCAAAATTTAAATTGTACCAAATTTAGTACAATTTAGTACACATAAGTAGGAATTTCAAAAATAACCTACATTCCTCTATCCTAGAATGTAATAGTTATCTTATTTCAAGATTTCAGAATTCTAGCTCTACCAAATTTTGTTACATTTAGTACTTTCCGTGCACATAACTAACGATTTCGAAAAACTTCTCTAGATCCCAAACCTACACTCCTCCGATAATGTTACTTTAAAATTTAAGGATTCCAGCTCCATCCGTTCCTCAAAATTCAAATTGTACTTAATTTAGTACCGTTTAGTACTTTTCGTAGACAACCTCCTAACATCGACTCGACACCTCAACCTTCACTCCCATTCTTAATTTCAAGTTTATAGCTCCAACCGTTCACGTGATACGAAATGGTACCAAATGTAGTACATTTTAGAACTTTTCGCATACTTATAGTGCGAATATCCAAATATTTAGTACCGTTTAATACGTTTCGTACCGTTCTTGTATGAATTTCCAAACCTCAGCCTTATCTGACCCTTCGGATCAAGAGTGAATTTTCAAGATTCTAGCTTTAGCCGTTTCGTCTAGGCGTTGGTGAATCGTTAAGTCAATCAGTCACAAGTACTTTACTGATTTATATAGACTATATCAAAAAGTGGATCTACATTGATTTTTTATTTGGAGGAGTCAACTACCCGATGAAAACCGGAAACAGCTAATTACAGCCGATTTTATTCTAGATTGGAACTGAAACTTACGAAATGCGGAAAATCAGGAGGTACTGTTATATGAGGGACCTATACCTAGTCTTTTTTGAATATCAAACTTTTTAGAAGCACCCCAAATGTCCATGTCATATTTCTATCTTTACATCATTATATCGATATAGAACATCATGGATATATGGTCATGAAAACATCAACTTTTAGGGGCTCCGATGAATATTTCGAGGAGTCATGTGTTATGGTCGAGGATAAAAAAAGAGTAAAAGTTATGTATGGTTCGTATACGTACTAATATCTTCATAACAAATTATATTCATCATACGCACTAAGGAAGCTTTTTGGTAGAATTTAAAAGATTTGCATTAATGGTCTAATGGCTCGGCAATAAAACATAAAATTGACGCTAAATGGCAAATCTATATTTTTGACTAAGAGCCCATTTGTTTAGCAAGTTGAAAAAGATTGTTTTAATAAAATTGCTGTTTGGTATTTTACTTTTGAATACATATTAATTATAATTTTAATTTTTCTATTAAATTGTTTATTTTTAATTGCTATTTCCATTTATACATCTCATTTTAAATTAAAGTAATTTAATGCTATATAATTTTTTACATTGCAAACCTAAAATAAAAAAAAAACCACAAAAACCACAAATTGACAACATCAAATGTGACAAGTAACCTGAAGAGTTTCAGTATTCCAAACGAAAAACGAAGAAAAAAAACACAAAACCACAAACTATTAAAAGGGAGAATAGAAAACAATTAAAAAAATGAGAACAAACAACAAAAAAACGACAATGTGTTTCTTGTTAGAGTCTATCTGATTTACAAATGTAGAAATATTTATGTATGAGTTGCAATATATTTATAATAACAACAACAAAAAAGAGAAATGCAAAACAAAATATATTTAAAAAAGATATTAATAAAAACAAGTTTTATATACCAACAACAAAACATAAATAATATACATATAGTGAACATAACTACCTAAAAATATATATTTATAAAAAAAAGAAATAGCAGGAAATTATCATATATACACATATTTACATACATAGCCCCAAAATGCATATTAGAAAAAGAACAAACAAAAAAAAAAAACCCTGAAGAAAAACCACAACCAAATTTGTATACATGAATGATTAGTATTGAATACTAGAAAAAAAAATCCAAATACCAAAACAGAAAGTGTATCCATTCACATATATAAATATATATATACATATATGTATTGCATATATACATATGTGCAATATTAGTTGAAAAAAAAAAAATAAAATGAAAAACCTTTGTGACAAAACTACATCTATATAAAAAATACATACATTATATACAATAAATTTAGATGAAAAGAGAAAAAAAAACTATAAATATATTTATTATATACCATAAACAACAAACAAACGTGCATACATATTATAAATATATTATATATTATAAAAACGAAATAAATGGGAAAAATATATGTTATTGTTTATAAAGAAAACAACAAATGCAAGACTTTTATTTTAAACGGAATTATAATGGAAGGAGCCTTTGGGGAGTGATTTGTGTGAGTGGCAATTAGAGTTATGCCAATTTGGTTCATTATTCAGTACACTAGCCGTTAAACGTATGAGTGATTTCATGAACTTCATATAACTCATACGCACATATTTCATACAAACGACAGGAGTCCATGGAACTGGATAAGGAACTAGTTCGTTCGATCGAACTAGATTGGAACAACTCTAGTGGAAGATAGTCGCAAGTAAAAGTGTATATAAAAAACATGATTAAACTTAAAACAATTAAAAAAGCAGTAAGTTCGGCCAGGTCGAACTTTGAATACCCTCCTACATTTGGGACAAATTAAGAAATTTTCAAAAAAAAAAAAAAAATTAAAAATTCTGTTAAATCTTAAAAATATTGAATATCGGAAGTTGCCGATATATGGGGGATATACGATATTGTGGACCTATATAGAGACTTCTATTTAGGTGGTAAATTACTCACAAAGAACTCCTTGTATAAAATTTCAGAAATATCGGGATGTACCAGTTAATGGGGGCTATACGATATCGTAGACCTACATAAACAATTCTCTGCTCGCAAAGAACTCCTTGTGTAGAATTTCAGATAAATCCATTAAAAAAATGTGGCTAAAATAATCAAAATACCGAATATCGGAGGTACCGTTATATGGGGGCTATACGATATCGTGGAGCGATATAGCCCATCTTCGGACTTGACCTGCCTGCAGATAAAAGACAGATCTGTGCAAAATTTAACTTCCTATCTTAATTCGTTTTGACTGTAGCGTGATGGAATGACGGAGGGTATACAAATCTGAATAGATCTAAGTTCATTTAACCGAGATAATTATAGGCTCTTGGTGATGTGTCACAATGTGCAGCCTCACGAATTTCACTTAAATTTTGCTCAATAGACACTCACCCAATTCTTCATATTCATATTCAAGCTTTTTCTCTTCACGCTATACCTAATTTAGTAGCATTTAGTACTTTTCGAACAATTATGGTACACATTTCCAAAAGAACCTCGATACCTCAATCCCAGATACCAACATAGAACTCAATATCAAATTTTATGATTAAAGCTCCATTCATTCACTCAACTGCAAATTTAGTACCATTTAGTACTTTCCAAACAAATACAGAACATATATCCAAAACCAGCTCCTTCTTTCAACTAAGACACAGAAAACGGTGACATCCATGTCAAATTTGAGGATTCCAACCGTATCCCTTCACCTAATACCAAATTTAGTACCATTTATTATTTTTCGTACAAACATAAATGCGTCCCCAACCACCTCCAAATCTCAAACACAGACACCATCAGTAATTTAAATATCCAATTTCAGGATTTTATCTCTATCCCTTTACTTAATACCAGACGTATAGTACCATTCAGAACTTTTTCTACGATAACAGTGCACATTTCCCTAAACCTTCTGCATATGCCCAGGCTACACATGAACAGCGACCCTAATACCAAATTTCAGATTTCAAGCACAATCTGCTCTCTCAGAATTAAATTGTATTAAATATAGTACGATTTGGTACATTTTGTACACTTATAGTACACATTTCAATATCAAACACCAACAGAAACCGGAATATCAAATTTCAGGATTTCAGATCTGCTCCTTCATCTAATCTCAAATTTAGTACTTTTCGTGAAATTTTAGCACACATTTTCGAAACCACCATTTTATGTCCAGGCTCATATATGAAAAGCCTCCTTAATACCAGGTAAAATAAAAGCGTTATCCTCTCCTCAGTACCGAATTGTACCAAATTTAATACCATTAAGTACTATGCCACCCTAATTCCAAATTTCAGATTTCAAGCACTATCTGCTCAACTAAAATGCAGAAAATCTTTCTAGAACCCCAAATGTCATGTTTCAGCCGATTTGGTTGGGTATAGTTTCAGAAACCTTTAAAATGCCGAAAATGGGAAGGTACTATATAAAGGATGAAATAAAATAATTGCAACAATAACTTTTACATTTTTTTTTTAAATTTTAGTGAATGAAAGCAAAAAATGTCGGAAATAGCATCAAATTTTAGAATAACTTTATATTTGTTCGAATTGGTCACCTTTGGCACGAATTATGGCCTTCAAACGGCCAATGAAACCGTTACACGCTGCCCGAATTTTGCTCTGCGGTATTTTGGCCCATTCCCGCCGGCGAAGCGCTTGGTTGAGGTGATCGACACTTTGGTATTTTTTACTACCAACCCTGCTTTCCAAAACACTTCAGACACAATAGTCTAACTGATCGGTATCCGGAGATTTTGGTGGTCGAAGGTGCACATTTTCAACTGATTTCTGTGGCAAGTAAACACGATTATTTTGTTTGTTTATAAACCGCCGGACAACGAATGTCTTCTCATCGGAGAAAACCAAATTCGGCAGTTTAATACTTTCGGCCATGCGAAGCAACTCTTTAGTTCTTTTAAGTCTATTTTCTTTATGTTGCGGTGTAAGTTCTTGCAATTTTTGGAATTTTAATGGCTTTACCCCGAGCTCATTTTTCAATATTTGTGGAATGGAATATTTCGATATGTTCAGCTCACGAGCTATTTTTCGGCCACTGCTACGCGTGTTTCGATTAAGTCGCTTCTATACTTTTCGAATAATTTCTGCTGATGTTGATGTTTTCTTCCGTTCACTTCCTTGACGTCGGGCTACGCTACCAGTATCAGTTTCACCGTAACGAGCGATGGTACGAGACACAAAAAATGTATTCACATTTAAATCCTGGAGTGCGGAGTGGTCTAACGATATCCACTTGTGGTCTTTCAGCCAAATATAACGCAATCTCACTATCACGCTTGACATCCATCACGAATAACTTTTTTCTGAAAAATTTTCACCAAAATGCTTTTGTACGCTTGTAAACAATATTTTGAACTGTCACTGGAATAACTTTAATAGCTATCGGACGAGTGGCTTAGAAATAAGACCACTCTGATGTTGGTTGCAGTTTTTTCATCTCACCCTGTATTTATCCACAAAATGGAAACATACATACCAAAATTCACTCCATTTGGGCTGATGTTAGCCATTATTTCCACAATAAACCTGAAATCAGTTTAGATCTTAGCCGATCTCGATAAATGTTGGTAAAGGTCTTTCCGACCTCTATAAGATATCTGGTACTAAATATCATTGTCGTTGAATGAATATTACGAATGTGAGGGATTTAAACACCAAATCTAATAAAACATATATATGAGAGCTATAGCTATATTTAAACCGATTTTTAACAAATTTGATGTACTTACTTCTAGACTGAATTCGGTTGGATGTGCCAAAATTTAGGAATTGTGGATTGATATTAAACCGAAACCGGCTGAAGATATATATGGGAGTTATTGCATCTCAATCGGATAATAAATGCGACTTGCATTTTGTTCACAAGAATACATGGACGTACGGACTGACATGCATAAATGGACTCAGAAAGTGATTCTATAAAGATACTCAAAGGTAGCTTTGGGTCTATCTCGGTTCCTTCTCCATGTTACAAACAAATGCACAGAGACATAATACCCTGACCAACTTGTGGTGTAGGGTATAAAAAGACAAAATACTCCTTTGTCGACTTGCTTTAAAGTTAAAAATTTTCCATCAAAAAATCCCCTCGTTCCGGCATTTTAATATAAAAATCCTGAAATGTAAATTTATATTCTATAAACCAATATTTATTTCCCTTTTATACAGTCACGTCCCACAGTACACCATTTGTAAACAAACCATGAGGAACAACTCAATTTCTAAAATGTTTTCACATTTCTCCACTGCTCTCACACAAACAAATTGTGCTCTTTATGGCTGGAATCCAAGAAAAAAAAGTGTGTCAAACAAGTCAGAGCTCAACAAGCAGGCAGACACAGCATACAAACAACGCAACCAACGACGATTCAGTCAACCAACTAACCAGCATGATAAAGCAACAAATATGGCTGGGATGCGGTTGTTATAGCATACAATCATACACACAACGGGTGGGAAATCCTCACACACTTCCACACACAAGCACACATATGGATGTTCTCTCTCTCCCGTTGGCCAAAATGTAAACAAAATGTGTTGAGGGGGGTTTTCTTATTCCTACGCCACCACAACAAAGCTTAGGCATGGCATGAACACCAAAATACAACAGAGAATTAATTGTGTTGAGAAACTGAGAGAGAGCGCGCGTCTGAGAGTAATTGTATTTTAATAGAGCCAGTGAGAGAGAACGTTTGTACTGATTTTGCGTTAAAGATAACAACACAGGAATTTATTGCACTAAAAGGGACACAACTCCAAAACAGAGTCAACAATACGGTAACTTTATGTGGCCCATTAACAGTTGCTGGCGAGAGTTAAAACGTTTAAGACGTTCCAATTTTGGGGCTACGCTGATAATATCCTCAAAAGAAGAAATATTCTTAGAATTGAAAAAGCAAAAAAAAGTAAAGTAAAGAAGAAAATATTTAGTGAATGGCATTCAAATAAAAGTGAGCCTAAAGCAAAGCAAGAGGAAAAAGTGTATCTTTCCCCAAAAAAGCCTTTTGAAGTGAAATTGCGATTTTCTTGGGAAATTGTTAATTGAAATCTGGGAAAAAGTGTTTGTGCGTGTGCCAATAAAACAAGCAACAATTGTTTTTTTCTGCTGAAAACAGGATAACTCAGAGCATTTCCTTTGAAAAAACAAAAAATTGTGCAAACTATTTAAATAGTTGAGAAAAGTTTCGTTGAGAAGAAATTCCAACAAAATTAACATCATGAAAATGGTACAGACCAACAATCCAGGTAAGTTTCAATTACTGATGCCCCCCTCCCTCCACGATTTTCCCCGTGATTTGTATTGCCTCCCTTTGGCAAAAATAAATAAAACTTCAAACCATGTTTCTGTTTTTGTTTCTGTTGCTTAGCTTTGTTTGGTTTACATTTGTCGGTTTGGCCTCTTTAAAATTTAACATTGAAAAGTGAAAGTTGCCAGCCACTCCATCCATACCTTGTCCTTATTGGGTCGTCGTTTTTGCTGAACAATTTTGCCTCCAGACGACATACGGATTTTTCAATGTACAATGTGGTGTATCCTTCCGCTCACTTTTTTTGCCTTGTTGCTTTGTGTTAGTTTGAGTGCAGGAGAGGGTGTGTGTGATATGAGGGTGCTTTGTAGGGCTCAAGTGGGGCACAGTGGTGTCGAAAGGGGAAAATTAAAAAGTGTTAATATTAAATTTTTTATGAAAGAATATGGAAGTTTGCCTTCCGGGAGGTGGTAGGTACAAAATGACTGACCTTAAAGCCCGTGAATCCATAGATCGCGTCACGCATTAAAATGTGAAAATTTGGTTATAATTGTTTACTAGAATGTTCTCCATGTATTACGTTGTGTCAATATAGTTCATGGGTGCGCACAGTTCCTAAAGATATGAGAGATTTCATATCACCCAAACGCAGGGCTGGAACAACTCTAGTTTAGTTAAAACTCTCGGATTTTTTTTTTGCCAAATTTTCCAAAGGTAGGTTTTTTACCCAGATTCCATAAAATTATTTTTTTTTCTTGGGGGACGGACCCAGATACCCTGAGGTTTGACCCAGCAGACGCGGACCTACTATATGGATAAAATATGTATCATTTTAAAATATCTATCCAACCACTCACATGATTGGGTTATTTAAAACTGTTCCGGTGTTGTATCGAATTGGACCCGAATTTTTCAAAAAATCTCCAAAAAGTCAAAATGGCTCCATTTTGGAAGTCCACAAAATGTACGCTTAATTATTGCTGACGCTATAAGCTTTCCAAGCTTGTTATTATATTTCTTGGACCCAGAGATACTGGTCGTTTCACCTACACGAGCCGATTAATTGCAGTACATTCTGTTCAGTTTTTCTAATGCCATGTTTTAGGCAGCTGACCTTCGGCCGGAGCTTGAGATTTAATTCTCTGCTTATGTGTAAAATGTTTCTAAATGTGATACTTTTTTAAGTAGCCGGGCTTCGGCCTTTGCTTGAGATCTTATCATCTTGGTATATTCAATAATTTAGATATAACCTTCAAAAGATTAATAACTGGTCGATACGATATCGTGGACCTATATAGATAATTCTCTTCAAGTGTGGGTTTTCAGACAATTCCATTGATAAATGTGGCTTAAATCATAAAAATACCGAATATCGAGGGGTATCGTTATATGGTGGCTATAAGATATCGTGGACCGGTATAGCCCATCTTCGAACTTGACTTGCCTGCAGACAAAAGACAGATCGGTGCAAAATGTTAGCTTCCTATCTTTATTTGTTTTGACTGTGATGTGGTTACAACAGAGTGACGGACGGATAGAATTTGACGCTGGTCAACAATATACAGGGTGAGATAAAAAAAAAAAACTACAAAAAAATAAAACGCCATAATTTTTACATTTTTTTTTAAATTTTATTGAGTGAAAGCAAAAAATGTCGGAAATAGCATCAAATTTTAGAATAAGTTTAGATTTGGTCGAACTGGTCACCTTTGGCACGAATTATGGCCTTCAAACGGCCAATGAAACCGCTGCCCGAATGTTGTTCTGCGATATTTTGGCCCATTTCACGGCGAAGCGCTTGCTTGAGGTGATCGACACTTTGGTATTTTTTAGTGCCAACCTTGCTTTCCAAAGATTGGTATCCGGAAATTTTGGTGGCCATTGTTCGCTGGAAATGAAGCGAGGGACCTCATTTTGTAACCACTCTTGGGTGGCGCGTGCTGAGTGCCATGGTGCTGAGTCCTGTTGGAATGTTCAAGGTCTGCGGCGAAAATGTTTGTGTGACCTAGGCTTTAGAACACCCTCCAGAATATTTTCGCGATAATATTCGGTATTTATTCCGATGTCACGGTCAATCAATACGAGCGGAGAGCGACCATCGGCTGTTATGGCGACCCACACCACCATCACCATGGTCGTCGCTTGAGTTCTGGTGGCCAACCGAAGGTGCGAATTTTTAGCTGACCTTTTTGGCAAGTAAACACGATCATTTTGTTTACAAACTGCTGGACGACGAATATTTTCTCATTGAAGAAAACCAAATTCGACAGTTCACTACTTTCGGCCAAGCGAAGCAACTTTTTAGCTCCTTTGAGCATATTTTCTTTCTGTAGTGGTGAAGTTCTCGCATTTTTTGGAATTTCAGTGGTTTCACCCCGAGCTCATTTTTCAATATTTGCCGTATGGAATATTGCTATATGTTCAACTCACGAGCCATTTTTTCGGCCACTGCGACGCGGGTTTCGATCAAGTCGTTTCTTTACTTTTCGAACCATTTTTGCTGATGTTGTCGTTTTCTTCCGTCCACCTCCTTGACGTCGTGCCACGCTACTAGTATCACGAGCGATGGTACGAGACACAAAAGATGTATTCATATTTAAATGCTGGAGTGCTCTAACGATAGCCACTTGTGGTTTTCCAGCCAAATATAAAGAAATCACACCATCACGCTTGAATTCCATCACGAATAACTTTTTTTCTGCAAAATTCTCACCAAAATGCTTGGGTACGCTTGTAAACAATATAACGAGCTGTCACTGGAATAATTTTATCAGCTGTCGGGCAAGTGGCTTGGAAAGGACAGCAGTCTGAAATTGGTTGCGGTTTTTTCATTAACCCTTAATTGCACGAAAAGTTCTAAATACTTCTAAATTTGGTATTGGGATGTCACTTTTGATATCTGGGGTTGAGAGAAAAAGCTTGTTTGTGATATTATATTGTACAAAATTTGCTAATGGGGGATGTTAAAATGCTGACATCCTGAAATTGTAAATTGAAGGAATAAAGATAAAATCGCGAAATCTGATATTTATATAACTATTGGCATTTGTGGCTAAGATTTGAAGGTGGGTGTGGAAATGCGAACTTTAATTGGTCGAAAAGTACAAAGTCGTACGAAATTCGATACTGGATGAAGGTATAGAAATGTAATCCTGAAATTTGATATTGAGGTTCTATTAGTATATACGTCTGATATATGGAGGTGGTTTTGGAAATGTGTACTACACGTGCACGAAAAGTACTAAATAGTACTTTATTTGATATTGGCTGAAGAAATATAGATAGAATTCCGAAATTTGATATTTAGATAACAGTTGGTAGCTGAGCTTAGGATGTGGAGGTGGGTTTGGAAATGCGTAGTGTAAATGTTCGTAAAATACCAACTGGTACCTAATTGAGTATTGGGTGAAGGAATCGAGCTGAAATTTGATATTGAGATCGCAGTTGGTTTCTTGGGTTTACATATGGAGATATTGAATTAATTTTGTTCGGAAAAAATGGATAAGGGTCGGTAAACTTCAAAATGTAAGATTTTGAACACTATTTAGTGTAAATCACATTCCTATTATTCTTTTCGAAAATAAGGAAGTCTCTATAAAATCGCATTTTTAAGCATTACCTATCATCCTTGTTAACCACTGTTTTCAGGCACATACGCTACCCATGGCAGTTAACGGTGGCATAGACTTTTATATCTCCATGTTTAGTGGGTCAAAGGGGAGGGAAAGATGCCTTGTCTCCAGGGGACGGTAAGAGGGAGGAACAAAAAGCATGCAACATAATGGCAGAGGAGTGTATACATGTATATATATATATATATATATATATATATATATATATATATATATATATATATATATATATATATATATATATATATATATATATATATATATATATATATGTGTGTGTGTGTGTTTAAATGGCACATTTACACACACAGATACAACCCAAACCTAAAATATAAACAAACAAACAAACAAACAAACACGGGGGCTAACAAGTGAAAGCATAAATGAGAATGTTCATACCATCTTCTACACCTGGTTTCCCAAAATACGCCAAACACTCACACACACACACACACACACAAAATGACGATGACGACGACGGCGACGAAGGCAACAGAACCCCCCACAACAGCTTGAACATCATCAGTCCCTTAGAGGAACCCCACCAGCTCAAACTACAAACATTTTATGAACTAATATTCCTCATTTCTTCTTCATCTTCGTCTGCTTCCTCTCTCCCCCTCTCTTCGCCCTCTCTCCCTCTCCCTCTCCCTCTCCCTCTTCGATTATACTTCGACATTCTTTTGAAAGGGAAAACTTTAATTAAAATTGTGTACAAAATCACATAATTTATAATAACCGAACGATTCACAGCTCACTTTGGTAAACAGATTTTGAGAAAGCAACAACACCAGCCAGAGCAGCAGCTGCACCAGGTGATGTTAGAATAATTAGTGGCTGGCAAAAAAAAAAACGAAATAAAATTAAAACTGTTTTTAATGAATTCAAAGAAACGAAAGACGAAAAGAAAGCAAAAAAGTATAAATATTTATCATAAAAGCGGAACGCCAGGTTGTCGATGAAGAGAAAATCCTCCAATCGATAGAAACGTAGAATAGGGTTAATGTTTTCCCGATGAAAGTTTTTCCATATGTGTCGAAAACGTCAGCTGTGATTTCTGTGATAAGATTAGCATTAAATATCGTTCCTTTTTGTTTGGTTATGGAAATCAAGTGATGGGATATCACATTACCAAGTTAATGAGGCGGACGTAGTTCTGGCGCGTTTCAGGGAGATATGATAATAGAGCCATTCCACGTGGCATGGACATTAGTGTTTGTAATAGAGACATGGAGGTTTGTAAGTAAAATTTAATTTTTAATTAAACAAAAGGAATTAAAGTTCGGAAACAATCAATTTTTATACCCACTGCATAGTATGGAGGCTATATTAAGTTCGTCATTCAACAAAGTATATATATTCTTGT